CTAGCCTGTGACATATTTTATTATTAGTCAAATTTTTAATATATTATGGTTTTACGTTAAACAGTAGCACATTTTTACTATAAAAACCTAATATTTATATACTATATATATATATATATATATAAACAGAAAGAAATAATATTATATGTGACAACATAATAATATTAATGAAATATGTAGTTGTAATTAATCCTATACTTGAATGCTTATTAAACTTAAAAAAATTCACAGTAAAATTGTGAACATACATATATGGTTCTCAAAAAGAGAAAAAATATTTAATGTTTTTGTTCAGAAGTCATAAGTATACTGTGTTGTTCAACAAAAATGTTCAACCTGGTTTTTTCCTTAAATAATGAAATTTAAATTCTGATTTGGAATTTTTAAATATACTTAAGGATTAAATTTTCAATTTAAGGAGTATACTGAGCAGGCAACGCTAATATTACAAATACTATAAATACTATTTCTAACTTAATTTTATAAAATGCCGATTAGATAGAAATTATTATTTACTTAACTATTGCTTCTTATTTTTAATATTATATATTACTATTTATATTTCTGTAATATTATTAAGTAATTTAAATTGTTACATTATCATTTAATTTTAACAAATATGTCATTTATTTTGAAAAAAACATGATTTACGAGTATAATTACGAATAAATTTGGTTACTAATGTAAATATCTGTTTGTAAGTAAAATTGTTAATTATTAAAATATTATGCAGTTTACTACTGACCGTGAACGCGGCTCGTGCTAGTATAGAATGAGTGTATAAAGGTCGCCTAATAGTAACAATGATGCAAATTAGCGAACCGTGATGTAAAAAATAAAATTAAATGAACAATGTGTTCATTGAAAATGGTGTATAAAACATTATAAAAATATAAATACTTAAGTAATACAAAAAAAAGGTTTATAAAATAATATTTAAAAAGAACTGTTCAAGGCAGCGTTACACTTGAGCCAAAAGGAGGAAAAATACACCTCTACATTTTGTTTTACCTAAAATATGTCTCACCTGTTTATTGGCAAATTTAAATTAAATTAAAATGTAATTACAACATTTTATATTTTTGTTTTGTGGTTTAAGTAAATATGCTTATCAAAATTAAATAGTAAGATAATAATAATATTAAAGTTTCGTAATCCTTCTTCTCCGCATAATAATGATCGTTGAAAAATATCAGCCCTAGCAGAAAAAGTCTTACACTGCCATTGATATACTAATAACAACCGTAATATTGAACATTTTGAATATACTCGTAATAATAAAGCTAGTACCTATATTAAACAGGTAAATTAAATATAACTGTTATATAAGAAAATGTAGAGACAATGGCGTGTATACGTTTACCACGTATGATACAAAGAGTGTTCAAGCCTCTTAAGAAACTTAAGGTATTCAGGTGTTTGTATATGTATTATGCATGTATATTATTGTTATTATTTTATGTATTAAGTGAAAATATATAAGATCTTCCAAATTTTGGATAAACAAAATAGTGGGGATTATGTTGGTATTCTCAAGCAATTCCTTCTATTTTTGTTACACAAACTTTGAAAGACCATATAATATGGTATTGCATTGCATAAAGTATTTGTAGTATTTATAATTAAATTAATAAGTATTTATCTTTAAAAATAAAATAACAAAACTTTATGTCTATAAAGAGTTTCTGATTTATTATTAACTTCAGCTCACAGATAGTGTTATAAAAAATAAATTAAATCAACATAACAGTATTATTTCTGATCATAGCTTTTAAAATATACTTTGGTATATGATGGTTTCTTCATGGTTTTATGTACAGAATCGTTATAAAATATCGGCCTGCTAATATTTCATAATATGAAGTGTAAACATATTCAACTAGTTAACAAATCGGAAATCATGTGTTGTAATTTAATGCGCACTATATGCACAGCATGTTTATAAAAGTGACAGCGGTGAAAAAATATTTATATTAATAAAAGCTGTTAGGTGTGACTAGAAAAAAAACCCACTAACAATGAAAAAAATGCAATATGGTTCTAATTAAAGTAGAAGGAAACGTTAATGGAAAAGACGATAAGAATAAACGTCGGAAGGAAGGAGGAAGGAAGGAAGGAAGGAAGGAAGGAAGGAAGGAAGGAAGGAAGGAAAGAATGCCTGAACGTACTTAGTTATTAGCCGACACGGATGAGGACAGGGTAAAAAAAATTCAGAACAGGGGAGTGCATAGTGAAATATTGGATGGATGGACGGGAACAGCAGCAAACACGGCACGTATGTTTTCTCCGGTACCTTCCCCACTCTCACACTGACTGCTGCCCCTGTATTCCCTGCTTTCGGTTTCCACGTCGCAATATCCTATCCGACCAATCCGGAAGTACTCGAGGGGAGTGATTTGTCGTGGGCGCCGGTGCCCGATTGGTCGTCATCGATTTTTCCGACGCCGCGCCCCACGCGTCCACCGTCGTCGTGCGAACGACTCCCTTACGCGGCGCTGGCAATACCTCGACGTCGCCAGCGGGTCAGTTGTACAATCGCGTCTGGTCTGATATCATTCTCTCGATTGTTTGTCACACCATAGAGATATTTCATACACACACTCACACACATTTAGACATATACACAAAATATTATTGATATATATATATATAAAGTGACACGTATACTATTCGGTTATTTAACATAAATACACTGTTTCAATTTAATCGAGATCGACATTTGGCTCATACTTCACATATGGCACTATTGGAAATAATCGTAACGATCGGGTGAACGATCTACCGCGTGAATTATGTTGGACATCAAAACATCGGATTACCTAAGCAGAAATGGGACGTTTCCCAATTTATCAATGATTTTTGCCGGTATGTGTTTATATTTTTTATTTTTAGTAACAAATAGCATACTATAAACTCATTAACTACAGCATTACCTATATCAGTTTTATTTGCTTGAAAATAACAATATTTCAACTAAAAATATTATCTTAAATCATTTTATTATTATTATTATTATTTATTGTTATTATAAAGTATTATGTTACATTTTTTTTGATAATAGATGTATCTATTGTACATTTATATTTTGAGATATTTTCTTCGATGTTTTTTTGAGCTCATATTATTTATTCTTTCTTATACATTTTAAATTTTTCCACTTAAAACCACATTTAAATTACTTACGTGTCTCTTTTGTCAACATTAATTTTCCTATATCTTTATAATAATAGTGATTAATTATCTATACTTTATATAGCTCCTGCACTATTATATATATTTGTTAAAATAATAACTCTGCGTACATTTTAATTAAAAGAAGATAAATAAGATATTATGATGACATGAAAATTAAAATAATAAGTAAAAGACCCTAGAAAGATTTTCTGTTATTTATTATAGTAAGTTTCGACTGTACATGTTCATTGATTCAATCGTTAGATATATGTTAAATTTATATTCAATGATAAATCACTGCATATGAAAAATGATTTTAATTGGAGATGGTCCGTCAGCCGCTATTTTTAGGGATATTATTTATTAATATTATTATTAGTGATTTATTTTACTATTAGTAAGTAATACGGCAAGTCAAACTAACTTCATCCTAAGTTATCGATTACATTTTAATATTATATAATATTATATTATGTACGATTTAATAATAATATGAAAAATTTTTTTGAATTAAAACAAAATATGTAAAATCATTATTTTTTGTGCTTAAATACTTATCTAATATCAAACATGGACAATGAACATTAAAAATGTATGTAAATATCTTTAAATACTTATTTTTAAATTAAATCATATAAAAATAATTAATATTTAGAAATAAATTTAAGTTACGACAATTTTTTATTTTTTTAAGTATAATATAAAAACACAAAGTTGATTTTATTAAAAACTGATGCTACGTAAAGATTTCCGTTTTTTAAAAAAAAAAATGTTTAGTTCTTCCCGATTATTAAAAAAATTTTATTTTTACTTCCCAAGGTACTACTAACTATATAAATTTCCTACCAAAGACAATGTTTGAAATTTTTTATTACTAAGACATATGTTACATTAATCTGTAATAAATATATATTTAATGTATACTCGTATGATAATTAAGATTTATAGAATATAGGTATGTAAAACGTTTATACCTAATGTCTATTATTTAAATTTAAAACTTTAAATAAGTTTATACTATAATATAATATAATTATTTACTGAATATTAATCAAAACAACTTTTCAATAACTATATATACAGTTTACAATATATATTGGGAATATTATAATTTTAAATCTATTTTTACATATATAAACACAAGTAGGTGCATACAAATTATCTTCTATGCTTAAATATAGCATAATTGCATATTTTTTTCGCTGACCAATATAAAATCACTATTTATTATTATTTTATCAGTGGTAACCAAAACTTTTCAGTAGTAGTCACTAATCTTTTCTACTATAAAGGCGTTATCAATTTCTAAAACAACAATTTTAAGGCCATGTGTTTTGGTAATGTTAGAAAATCCTTATTTTATCAATCCAAAAAACGCTATGATAAAAAGTAGTAAAATCTAAGTTTTTTAATGTAATATTATAATTACATACTTTAACCAGTTAACTTTTATCTTAAAAATCACAAAAATGTATAACTGGACAGCAAATACACTGTATTTTAAGTAATATAAATACTACGTATATCGACGAAAATTTAACATATTGTTATTTAACTATGGAAATTGGACATATTTTCAAAGATTATATTATATGAATGATAATAAATAATAAGTATAAGAATAGATAAAGATAATACATGTATAAAAACATATTTTATCTTTATGAAAAATTTATTCTTATTAATTCACAATTGATTGTTTTTTATCGGTTAAGTATATACATATATATAATTATTGATTAATTTAATTTAAGAATAATAAATCATTTTTGATATTTCACTATAATCTATAACACAAAAATTATATAATCATATATTGTTTTTAGATACTCATTACAAAGGATCATGGAGTACACATTCATCAGGGCAAACACAAGGTACCTATTTAAATTTATTTTATAAAAAATTTACGTACATAAAACTACCTATATATTAATAATAAAGTGAGCAAACTATTAACCATTTTTTTTTAGTGCAACTTATTTAAATTATTGTAGTTCATTAATGTATATTTATATTTTTTATATATGTATAAAAAATATTTAATTATTCAAATGCACTTAAATAATTTTTACAAGTTAATAAATAATGATAACAAAACTAAAAATAAAGCTTAAATCAACAGTTTTGTTTATTGGTTCATAACAGCTGTTCTCAAAGTTAAATATAATGATATTCAAAAAATAATGCAACATAAATGCTGTTACTTATTAAAACGTTATCTATTTTATTATGTTTTTTGGAATCGGATTATTTTGCAAAATGATTTCCATTAAATTTTAAAATAGTAAAAATAAATTGAGTGAAGTAATTTTATATATTACTTTTTAAATTTAATGAAAAATCTATTATACCATCGTTCAAAATAAACGTAGAATTTAATAACAAAATTATAAACGATACAAATAATATGAATACGACAGATTATTTGAAAGGAACATTTTGTTAAAAACATTAAAAAGAGGAAAAGGTTATCCTAAATAAACACAGAACATGATTGTCACGTTGTCCAGTAAAATCGATAAAATCATAAAAAAGACCTTACCTTTTGATCGTCAACTAAACATATATTCTCTCTTTCCTTTTTTTTCCGTCCCAATCAAGACAACAATTTTAGGGGTGAAAAGGTCTAGTACAACAAATGCGCTTGATCACGCGCGAACACTATCAAAATGTTGTCGTCTGAGCCGTTTCGGACAGACAATCAAATAACATCCACATGGATGAGCAATTCTTCTTGCATGTAAAGTAGATGTTATCCATTGATTTTTGTACCGTGACTCTATCTCGATGAATAAGATTATCTCAAAGCAAACGCAATATAACATGACCGTGTTAAATAAATAAATAAATAAATTTAATTTTTAGCATAGCAATCACACCAAACCATTATAACTTCAATATAAAAGCACAAAGTTTATTCATTCAATATTTTTAAATAACTTTAAGTATGTTATAACAAAAACTTATTTCTTCAAAAAAATGAGATATATTTAGAATCGATCGGACAAAGTAGAAGTGCTGTGTGAAGTTGGTAGCCCGAGCTATATTTGCTTCTGGAGGATTAAAAAATGTACTGCAAATTTTTTTATTGGTGTTGCTGCAAAAAGTTGCAAAAAAATTATATATGTTTAACAATAGATCGGACAAATTCGGGGTGCCAAGTTCACGCACGTCTCAATTATCATTAAATTCTGTTATATTTATATATTTTAATTATTAACAATTTAAAAAATTATATAATAGTATATTATTTTATTGGCAATAATTATAATAAACTTAAATGTCTACATGATTATAGAGGTTTATTAAATTTAATTAAAACAATTATATCTATTTTTTAACTTTGTTTTTAAGTATAAAATATATACAATATGTACAATAGAAAATGAATACAAAAAGTAAATTTGGAGTGGAATATTAGAATAATCAAAATAAGAGAGAAGATTTTATACTGATTATTTCATATTTATAATTAATATAATACATTACAATAAATATTAAATTGTATATATGTGAAATAAAAATAAAGTTTCTAAAATAACAAATCCGTCAATCATAAATTCTTTAATAATGAGTTATTCTATAAATAAGCATCGTTTCAATAAAATTATAAACGTAGTTATAGTAAATCATAATATTCTTGTCAGATGAAAAATAAAAATGGAATCTTTATTAACTAAATACCTTGGGGTGCTTTTTTGTGTGTTATAAACAAACTGAATATGGACATCTAATTCTATTATAATCTCTTGTTATTCGACCACCATCAAAGGCCACAGGCACGACGGTTCAATGAGCTTTGATTAGACACATCAAAGGCATGTTTGTTATATACCACCGACCGCATTACGAAAACCGCCCTAGGCTGGCCGTCACCTTTGTAAAAGCGTCCAACTGTAAAAGCTGGTAAATAGCTGGGGTCTAGTGAGTTTTGTAATATTATGAAAATTCAATCAAAACATGCAGACACCCATACATTTTTTTGACAATTTTAATAAAAAAATTTTATTTTAACATTCATTTCTAAAATATCAAACCGGATACTCCAGCAAATGCTTCTTTGTATTAGATATAATATAATAATAATGGTAAAATCAGGTATAATTTAACTTAAACAAATTAAGTTTAAATTAAGATAAAAAAATTTTCAAAATACAAACTTAATGGCAAGTATGATAAAATAAATGGCAATTTTCCAGAAAGTTTATATCGTAACGCTTAAAATATGTCAATGTATTACAATAAAAAAAATAAAATAAATATTAAATTATAAACAAAATTACGAAATTCAAAAACTAAAGAGCTGAAGTATAAATAAAATTAACATAACCTTCAAACGTTGAGTTTTAAATATGTTAAAATCACAAACATTTAACTTTTATTAACATTTAATTTTTATTAATCTACCAATATTTTTAATTCATAAAAATTGGTCATTATATATAATACATACTAGATCCAATATTATAATTATTTAATATTTTTGTAAAACCATTTTTAAAGACTATTATTCTTTGTACAAACATTTTAATAACTGAAAAACTATACTTCTTCAAACTTTGAATTAGGTACATTACAATTTTCGAAAAAAATATTCACTAGATGGTTCACACTAAAAATAAGCATCTCTCATTTTAAAAACAAAAATTTGTATCACCATAAGTTGTTACTTCTTGAGTGTCTTGTAAAATAAGTCTCAATAAATTGAAAATATGATCATTGATTACAAAAATCTGAATTTAAATAAATGTATTATTAAACGAAAAAATGGGGGTAAGTATGCTTGGTTAATCGTCCTGTACATAGATATAATGTGTTATAATGAACAACAGTAGGTTTAAAAAACAGTGAAAGAAAAAAACACTCTGTTCAATGTATGTACATAATAATTATTTTATTATAGTAAAGGTAATATACAAAACGATTCGTCGGAAATGTGTTAGGCGCGTTATTCGATTCCATTAGTGCAGTACACAATACATACTCGTCCCGGTGCGACGATGACGAGTGCGAGTCGACTAAAATATTGTCGTAGGCGATATTATTGTTATGATAAATCGAACAAGTGAAGTGTGCATGGGATTAACAATAATGGAGGGCGGCGGCGGTTATAATTAAAATTAAACTCCTCCGGCCGTACGTAATCGCAAGCGCAGACACGGCGAAGCGGCAGCTTTTTCTCGTAGTTAATAATAATATATATTGAGTGGGCGGATTTCGCTAGCGTACCGCCGCCGCCGTTACCGACGACTGCGGCTGCCAAACGCCCCAACAAGTGACCGTGAACAAGAGTGGCCGGTACTCGCGCACACAACAGGCGGCGCGGCGTTTAACTCGAACCCGAAATCCATCCCGTGGGATTACGTCGACGACGACGACGATGACGACGGTGGCCATGTCCAACCGACCGTGTCGCCCTCGACGCCGATCGTATTATTATTATATCGTTGTTATGATAATAATAATAATAATAATAATATGATATGGTACGAAGTGCGCGGTGCATGTTTCTGTATCGTATTTTTTATACCGTGACAGCGGTGACTGCCAGATTTTTTACACCGATTTAAAAACAACCCGACGACGACAGTCCCGTACTTATTGGTCAGCCGTTGTCGCGATAAACGCTAAACAGAATGAATCACATTTTCGTTTTATTCGTTTCGTTTTTTATCGAACGCGCACATCGCGTTGTATATTTTTATTGTTTAAGTACAGAAATAGCTTAAAAATACCAATCATACATCCCAAATAATCTGTCTAAAACAAACCTGTGAGAGATGCGGGAGGAAAATTGATGTAATTCGTATATTCTTACCTCGGCGCGAAGCACGGTGACGCAATCAATGAAAAAACTGAGAGTGACGTTTTTCATGGTTAGACAAAGCCAACAGGAATGCGCGTAAAATTCTATCATACTGAACATCACTGTTTTAGGCCAACGTTTGCTCAGAAAATAAAAAAAAAATTGGAACTTAATAAAATTAATAAAATGATAATTTAATTATATAAATTTTTGCTCAGACTTCATTTTGAAGTTATAGACTTTTTAAATTTATCATTTATCTGAGCATTTCTCACCTTATTTTTAGAAATCATAACATATAATATCTTTGACCCCTAAATAAACTGTTACTAGCTATCTAAACAATTTTTTGATGCTAAACCTAATTTTCTCTAAACTTGGAAGTTTTTATAAAGTTTTAGTTTGTCAAATTAGACTTATTATTTGTCTTTTAACTATATTAATAAGAGGGGTAAATTTCACTCTTAGATAATGACCGTGTAATATCTTCCAATATTCTGTGACATAAATACTTAAAGGATAAAATAAATATATCCATTTTGTATATAGGTAGTCAATAAACTGACTTAATTACTTGTTTATTAGAATTAGATAGTTTACTACTTGTGTAATGCTATGAATGTAGGAAGATAAAAAAAATAAACTGAGTTAACTTATCTAAATAGTATATCATTAAATTTATCTATTTTATTCTTTGATAATTAAGTTTTCTACTTATTTGTTTCTGATTGTATAAAATTATAAAATTATTGTAGGTACTATTTATGCCTTGTTTTTAATTTTTTAATACAAAGTTTTATTTTGATGAGTTAAAATTAATATTTATCGACTTTTCATTAGAAAATTAAATCAAAAATGTTTATTTTTTTATAGCCAACAAAATCTTAACTTTTACCAAAGTTCAAGTTAACACATATAGTGACGTAGTATAGTTTAACTATTCAGCATAGTTATTGTTTATGAATTAGGAATCCTTGTGTTTTTTCCCTGCAATAAAAAATAATATTATATACATACTACTATCATACGCGATTGAATTCACTCTCCTCCCTCTTTAAAAAATTAGCTTATAGAGTAGAATCGCCACTAAACCTAAATGTAGTGAGTATCATATACATTTTTTTAAATCTTTGTTAACATTTAGTGGGAAATAATGTGTTAAAAAGGGTTGTGCAGAATAATGAACTTTGGCTGTGGTTATGGAGAGGTAAAACTTGACATACAAGTTATGGACCGAAAAAGAAGAATGATCGCCCTTTTTCCCCTATACTCGATACCTTATCCCTCGCGATCCCTTTAAGCTGTCAATCAGCTCAGACGGCCGTACACGAGTCCACGTGCCGATAATGGAACTGCTAAAGCGTTTTTGTAAGCACTCAGTTGTCAGACCCCGCCGAAAAGTATCACGTTTAAAATGCAACCTAAACGTCGCTTATCAAGTCAACCTGAAAGAATAACAAGTCACAGTTATTTACTCACTGACCCTTTTTTTATACTTCCCTTCGTGACGAAGTTATTAGACGATACCCGGGAAAAAAAACACAATTCCGGTCACTACGTCAACATTTTACAGAAGCAGCAGTTTCTAATTAACCCAGCGAAGTGAGAACCAAAATATATCAAACATATATAATTATGAAGTTCTATAAATTTTATAAAGTTATTAATTCGCTAAGAATCGCATGATTAAAGACAAAGTTAATTTTTTTTCTTGCTTGAAAGGAAAAAGTTTAATTAATTTTTGAAATTATATTTATATATCTCTTACAATTTATATTATCATTTTTGTATTTAAACTTCATAGTTATATGGGAGAATTATTTAACTAAAATTATTTATTTATTTTTTTTTTTAACTTTATTAAATTTAAAAAAATATTACTTTTTCTAAATAATATTTATATTAAAGTTTCAAATAATAAAGAAATTGTATGTACAAATTAAAAATGTTGAACGGAAAACAGCATTCATTATTGAAACTTAAAAAATTCTCACTAAATATCTAAAAATAATAATCTAAAAATGTAGTTATTTTTACATATTAATTATTGTAATTATTGCTATATTAACAAATGATATATAAACTTACAAATATGTCTTTTTGTATCAGTCATCACATTTTCGATCAAATAATTTACTTAAATCATTAACGTTAAAGATTTTTTTTACTTTTTATTGACAATACTGATATAAATGGTACTTTGAAAAGTCAATTATATAATTATTATTCTAATAATATTCTTAATAATTTGAAATGTATTAAAACGAGCAGAAAATGAGAATATTTACGAAGTACGCAACACCAGTTTTCGAGAAAATCAATTTATTTTTTTTGCATTAATTCATAAATAAATAACATGACATGCCTACTAACTGTTTTTAGAAAATGCAAAAGCATTTTTTAGACATAGAATTATCAAAATATCAATATATTTCTGTTTTCACTTATGTTTATAGGTATTTGATTTTTTTTTTTTTTTTATTGACAACATACACAAAAAATTTACAATTAAATATTTAAATAAAAATTAACGATTTTAGTTAATTTTATTGTTATTTGAAAAATATTAATCATAAGTGCTTAAAATTTTTCAAAGTTACTATTTTTTATTCACAATGCAATCTTCAAAATATTTAAATTAACTTTCAGCAGTTCTATTCAAACTGTTCTATGGTACGTACGTTGGTATTGACTGATAAGTTATAAGTTAACTATAATAATATTATATACAATTTGTTTTTGCCAAAAAATAATTAAAATTTTACTTACTATAATACTTATAGTAGTATTAAAAAAATATAAAAATACAAAGAAGTTGACAAATTGTTCTGCGTATAGTGTTTACAATTTTAATTATTGAATTAAAATTTAACAAATCCATTATAGTGTCTACTTAATGAAGATTTACGAAGTACACTCGAAACATATTAAGCATTCCCATCAAAGCGGTTTTCCCGTTTTTGTTTTTTTTTTTTAATTATAAACTTAATGCATATTGATATTATTAATTTAACATACGTATATAATATACATTTAAATATTTTGATAAGAGCTTATGTGCTGACGGTTATAAATAGTCTTAAATCTTAATAAAACATTTTAATTTAAAGTATTTTGATTCAGGTGTTTGAAATAGTATTGATATATATAAATATAGTGTACAATATATATCCGAAGTCCATTACTTACGAAAAATCATTAAATAGCTTGTCTCCCATTATAGGCCCTAGGGTGATATTTTGGTAGTGGTTTTGTTTGTGCTGTCTGTACACAAGCAATTTGACATACTCCCTATTTTATTGTTCCCTCGGGATATTTTTTTAGCCCCTTTGTTAAAATCAATTCACAGCAAATTATCGTTTAAACTTAATTTAAGAAAAAAAAGATAACTATATTGTATAAATCAAGAAAACATCATATATTCTTTTTAATATTAAAGCACATACTGTATACCTATTATTAATTCTTCAATAGTTTGATTAAAATGTTCACAAACTTTAATATATTTTTAATGAACATTAAGTTCATAAATATAATATTAAACACTGATTGAGTTTATTTTATTTTAATAATATTTCAGATCCATATCAAATGTTCGGGGCCACAAGCAGTCGATTAGCTAGCTCAGGTAAGTTAAACAATTATCATATAAATTATAAACTGTTTTAAAATTTTCTTGTAGGAAGCGGAAGGAAACTAACTTTGTTGTATATACATTTGATTTAATTATTGCTTTTGTTTTTAAATTTATCAAAATTTTAAATAAATACTATATTTATTTACTTTTTAATAATTTTTATATTATTTAGTAAAAGGAATATTTTTTTTGGAGTTATTGCAGCAAAACTTTCATAATCATAACATAAAAAACAAATTTATTTCTTTTCTCTAATTTATATGTCCAACATCACAAATACTCAATGATTGAGTACTATTTTAAAACTTTCGATATGTTAATGACTTGAACATGATTCATGTTTATTATATTACTAAGGTTGTCTAATATAGCGTAAAAAATATTCCCACGCAATACTTGACGCTTTTCCGGCTTTGGTTTGAATTATATTTGGCTTGCGTGTATGCAATCGACTTTTGCCACACTATCGGCTACAACCCATTCGTCACGGTCTATGATGCCCCCTACTTAATATACTATCTGTCATCTGACAATTAGATATACATTTTATTAGTCCCTTTATTTTATGTCAATGTATCTCCATAATAATTAAGACAATAAATATCTATTTAATTTTTTAATTTTCAGTTTAGTGTAATACACTTAAATAAAATCTAAAATATTATTCAAAATAAAATAAGTTCTCTGAATTTTAATTTTGACTTTTAAGTTTAAACTGTATCAACGCGTACCTAATTATTAAAATTCAGAAATTTATTTATTTATTACGAAAGTTAGATTTATAGTACGATATTAAATTCTTGCACAAATTATAAATTTTAATTATGTTTATATGCTAATTTAGTGTATTTTATTAAAATAAACAGATACAAATAACCAAACACAACATATATATTAAAAGTCTTTGAACAATTTTTGTTTTTATGTATTTATATAGGTTCTGGTCAAATACAACTGTGGCAATTTTTGTTGGAATTATTGTCTGATAGCAGTAATGCAGCATGTATAACGTGGGAAGGAACGAACGGTGAATTTAAGTTAACCGACCCTGACGAAGTAGCGCGTAGATGGGGTGAAAGAAAGTCTAAGCCAAACATGAACTACGACAAATTAAGCAGAGCATTAAGGTAAATTAACTTGTATTTAAATGTACGTTACACTAAACATTCATGGAAATTAGAAAATATTTATTTATTGAATCAAATAGTCAATAAACTTAACATTATTACGAAAAAATATATATTACATATTTTTACCATGACCTGCAAGCTTGGTAAGCGTCTACAAAAAATAATTTAGATAGTTACTCAGGAACTAGCACATCAAAATATTGAGTCTATGATAAAAGAATAACTGAAACAGCTATAATATAAGTCCTTTGTCCTCAGCTATACATATTTTATATTATTATTCTAAAACAAAAATGTTTATTTTTTATCTAATTTAAAAAAAATTATGTTAAGTTAGGTAAATATATAATTTACCTAACTAATAATGAAAGTTTAGAAACTCAATTTATCCATATAATATAATATTTTGAATATATCTAGAATGCTTATTCAAAAATATTAATTACTTTCAAATAAAATAACTATATTCCTATTTAACTATTATGCATATTGATTTTTGTTCTTTTCATAACATTTCACCTCGACTATACCTCAGTAATTGGATTTATAGAATGCCTTGTTCTTCGACAGACACGTATTTGCTCATCCACTGGATATACCAAAGGGCGAACGTGTAATATATCCTAATTACATGGTTAGGGCGGCAGCAGTCGCAATGGTATGGAAGTGAAGGGGTGTGAAACTGGCTTTAGGCGCTCTAATTGTACGCGAGGGGTTGTTGGTCGGTGATTGCCACTGATTGTGCGTTAATCACCCACGCCCTTCTTCCACGGAGAAAACGCGATACAACAGAAAACGTTTATTAATTCTGTAAGCGCGCCGCCGAAGCTTCTGAATTCTCATTTAATCCAGACATTTCGTTTTTGATTTCACTGTTTTAATATGTTTTGATAAAATAAGACACCAAATGTGCTTCCGAAGAATATCCCATAAAATAATAAAAAAATTTTTTAGATTCTAACCAATAAATGTTTTACTTTTAATATTTTTATTGTATGATGAAAATTAAATGTTCAAAGATTAAACAATAATTTACTTTTATTTTTAGTTATTGGATTTACATTTTTCCTTGTCACTATGCGATCCAGTAATGATATAAAATAATTTTAATTCGCACAGTAGCAAAAGTCATTCAATGTTTTTGATTTGAAAATTAAATTATGTCCACGGGATTCAAAAAGGGTCCGGATATAAATTGATAATCGTGGGTTTGAAAACCTTTTCACCGTCAACTACGAACTTATTACGAGTCAAATCATCCCCACTAGCGTAATCCAAAAGATTCACTATATATACTTCCACATACACCTGATATTTAATCGACCTACATAGAACTTTCAAATAATAATTATAATAATACAAAATTGAATTTAAATTTAAATCAATATTTAAAAAACAAATTGTAGTCTACAAAATGAAAGTTATTCATACAAAACATATACAAGTTAATACATTTTAAATGTTAAAACTACTTAGATTATCAAGTTTTTATTAGTTCTAATTTAAAATATTAAATATTGATATAAATTTAATTATTTATCGTTGAATACATTGTTTAAACACGAAAGTAAACTTTAGCCTTGAAATAAAGATTTATAATTTACCTTACTATAAAAATTATATTTTAATCTATTTTTATTAATTTTTAGGTATTATTATGACAAAAATATAATGACCAAAGTTCACGGAAAAAGGTATGCATACAAGTTCGACTTTCAAGGGTTGGCAGCAGCAACTCAACCAGCTGCTGCAGATCCGTCTGCGTACAAATATCAATCAGACTTGTTCATGACAACCTATCACCATCATCATCATCATTCTCCGAAATTAAACTTCATTTCACCTCACGCACCAGGAATAACATCTACTGCAGGTAAACTTAATATTTTATTACAATAAAATTAAACAGAATAAAAATTATTACCATTAATTGTCCATACCAGCCAACTTTTACATGTCAGGAAAAAATAATATTTAATCATAAAGAACGAAAAGATATTAACTTAAACACAAAAAGTCATTAACTTTCTTTTTTAACTGCAATAAATAAAACTAAAAAGGATGTATAAAATGAAAATAATAATAATACGTAATATCAAATTATCAAAAGTTAAAAACAAATTAAGTTGTTAAAATAGATTTAAATATAAATTGTTTTAATTTATTACGAGTACTTATTTAACGATTATTTTATAGTAATTTATTTCTATATTGAATCTCACTGTACATTTAATATCGCAGAATATATTCAATTAAGTAACAAAAATTTGAATATTTTTATCTAAATCGGAGCGATAAGAAATTTATGATTCGATAATGGTATAAGAATTATGTAATTTTGATTATTTGAATTATGATTCTCATGAAACCCCAACCATTTTCGAAAATTCTATTTTTAAGCAGGTTGTTATGAAAATATATTATTCCGGTTATATTATATAAATATATATAGACATAATCGATGTATCTTTGGGTTCAAGCACAAAAGATAATTCCAAATAGTATAATAATTAGGTTAGGTCCCGATTTATTTTAAATATCTAAAACATTATAAAAAAAACTGCCGCCTCATAAAAAAACATATTTTAAGTATTATAAATCTAAGAACCAACTACTCTAAATAGTATCTAAAATAATTCTAAACCAAATTCAAATGAATCTAATGTAGCCGAAATTTTTTATGTATATTTTATATATAACGTGAAATATTAAATCAAAACCCTTATATAGATATTAAATTTTATATTTAGTGTATATCTGTTACAGTTATCAGAAAAAAAAAATCTAACAAGATTATAATATATATTATTTTTGATAAAAAATAAACAAGACATTTTCAATATTATATCCCTCGTTCGAAAAGTACATAGAATACTGTTACTACTACTATTAATAATAAATAATAATAACAAAACAGCCAGTCCGGCGGCGTTAAAGGGGAACTATATTATAACGTCTTTGTTGCGTCGTTCGTGCGTGCAGATAGTGTACGTGTTTTTGTGTGTGTTAGGTTTGGGAAGAAGGGTAAACTATGTATAGGCAAACAACCCGTGCGAAAATCATTCGTATGTAAACGAAGACGTCGACGATTGTGCTTTTAAAGCGTGAAAGTCGCACGACCAGGGACCGATGACACTATACACAATAATATTATATATATATATACACCGCGCGCGCGCAAAAAGCAAACAAAACTTGTCAACCACACGCCTTTTACCGGCGGCGTGGAAGTGGAAATTTACATCGAGCTCGGAGGTGGCAGTGGCGTAGTAGGTGTAGGGTGCGTGCAACGTATACACAATACATACATATTATATATATATATCCCACTACAATCGGGTGTGTATTGACCCATTTGTATGTGTGTTTGTACACCTACTAATACGAGGGAAGTAAAAAATCCGAAGAAAAGAAAAAAATGAAAAAAAGGACGAGTTTTTACAATAACGTTTATACCTTCATCACCTCTATTATATACATGTATATATATTAACATACATACACGTTTGCGTGTTTATGATTTCCACTGAAAGCTCAGTAGTATATGTACTTTGAACTCAACTTTATTTTCAAAACGATCCGTTAGGATAAGTTAAATTATCAAAAAATATGACAGATAACAACAGTAGTAATAATAATGTTTATGCAAAACTCGGTAAACCTACTCTAAAATATTTTCTAAGCCGTGACAAACCAACGAGTATATAATGTAACTATATATATATAAAATATGTGGTGTGTTTATCGTGTAACTATACATTTTTACTGCAAAATATTGCGTAGGTATCTTTAAACTTTAAACTTTCGTAAATTTAAATGAAAAAAACATAATCACGCGTAATCGTTAAGGCGTTGAAAAAACCTAAAGTTTCAACCCCTGCTTTGTTTTATACGTATATATATATATATATATATATATATACTTTACTTTTCGCCCCTTTAAAAATTAATTTCCACTATTTTCAATGAAAACGTTAGCTGAAAAACTTTTAATTTAACGATATGCAAATAAGAAAAACTTTGGTTTTATATTTAAACGAACATAATATATTGGTTTCCATGTCATGACTACCGATTTTAAGGATTAACTTAATTGAATAGAGTAAATTATTTTTATTTCATCCAAATTTACATTTTATATAAGACGCGCACTATACTACTATATATTATAATATTAGTATTCTATTTAAATTACGTACACAATGGGGCGACCTAGTTAAAATGTTTTTGATTTTCTAATCTGTACCGTTTTATACGGTCTGTTTTACTTGTTATCCATACATAATCAATGGCGTAATTCGGTTCGCATATTTTTAGTATTGTTAAGTTGTTTATTTTAAAACTTTAAAGAAATATTCAATCTCTCTTTTTTTGTCCATCAATGATCTTAATCCTCTAATTCAAAAATAAGTTAATAATAAATATAAAGAAAATTTTCAATAAAATATCGTCAACCAAAAAATAAAACTAATTCGAAATGGTCGAATATACTATAAAATACTTAGATACTATTTAACAGGTGTACCTATCGCTATGAAAATAAATCAAAAAATTAATATCTTAATAAATAGCAAAATTCATATTTAAAACAGATATAATCTCATTTATTTTAATTTTACAAAACATTACTCGCAATCAGGGCTTAGAAACGTTATAATAACGTCATATTTGACAAAAAACGATTGGAATTTGTAAACGTAATCATAACGGAAAACGATAAAAATAAACATTTAAATAACACGAAACAAAACATAACGATTAACAAAATATATGACATGTCATCAAACAAAATATAACGCAAAACGTTATATACCTATATATATTATATCATAAAAATAAATAATTAATTTTCAATTATTTAATAGTTATAAATTATAAAATATACTAAACATTTTAACTCTGAATAACGATAAACGCAAAAGTTGAATAACGTTTAAATTCTGAATAACGATAAACTCAAAATTTGTATAACGTGTTTTAATTGTAAATAACGTATAACAAAATATTTTTTTCATATGCAAGCCCTGCTCGCAATACCTGAAAATATTTTAGCGTTGCAATAAATTTTATCCCAATTATAAGTTCGAAGTAATTGATACTTTGAGCATTAATTTTCGACTTCAAACCGTCCGAATTTCTCAAAGTACGGAGTGTTCGAAAACTTAAAAAGCTCGAGAACTCATTCCTATTTATAATACATAAAAAGTAACCGATAATAATACGGTATAATATTGTCAAGACGTGATTTATATAAATGCGTATTATAGCCGACATGGTTGTGGAATTCATTAGACCCTCCTATTGGCAACATTATGAGCTCGCGTATATTATATATGTATATACATAATATATTATGGTTTAATATTATATAAAGTCGTCGACGACAGACCCCACGCGCGGACATTAAGAGCCGGAGATTTAGTGCAAACCAAGCGACGATATTTATACACGCCGAAGCGAATCGTCTGTCTCATTAGCCGTCCACAATGGGCCCTTAATGACCCTGCCGCCGTCACCGCCGCCTCCGTCATTCGGTCCTTGCCGCGTTTAATGACTGCTCTGCAGTGCTGCGGACCCTTCAATGTATTGACGCGCTATATACTTTTACGCGTGCGACAGCCACCGAAGACATTGTATCCAGTGATTTTTCGCTCCGTTGCGCACCGTTACTGCGTTACTGTGTACTATAATACAAAGTACGCGTATATAATATATTATTATTATACTCATGTCGTCGTCGACGTCGTTAATCGTCCGATAAACGTAACAACACGTCGTATCGTATTATATATTACGACATATAAAAACAATATAATATTATAATGTTTTCCATCGTCGACGTCATATGAATAATTGTTATTATTGCATGGGTATATGAATTGTCGGGGATGTCTCGCGATGATTAGAATTATACGACACACATATGTAACAATGTCTTTAGTTTGCTATGTTGCAGTAGGTGTAACGGCAGTGATTCGTGTCGAAAACCCGTGTTTAACAAAATAACGCGGATAAACTTATCTGTAAATTTTGTAATTTTGAAATTCGATATAAAATACTATTGCGCAATATTGTGGTCAAAATATAATTTTATTAGCTTGAGCTATGAATGGTTTATAGTAATGCGTACTAAATTCTAAGAATCTATGACTATAATATTTCATATTTCGTGTACATTTTATTGTAACAAGTATATGTAGTAGGTAGGTATGTCCAATAATAAAAAAATAAATACTATCTACTTTCATATTCAAACATAAAATTACTTCATGTTACTAATTAATATTTTATACTCAATTGATACAACGCAATTTAATTTATTATACTATAGTTTATATACTTTGTATGATTTATCTCCAGCAATATGTATAAAAATTCAATGTAATTTTTAATTCTTAAAATTCTTTTTATATTGATTATTCTTTATTATTATGTAGGTATGTAGTGCCTTTCACAATTTTTTCTTTTTACATAAATTCAATATTAGATTAGAACCTCTTGTCTCCAACTCAAGCTTGCTTTTGTAAACAAATCATTTTTTGTATATCTCGGTTATTTTATTATTTTAAATAGTATAATAATAATAATAATAATAATATCGTATCACAAGTACATCGCTAACGTGCGGGCGAGCCGATGGGAAAAAAAATTAACCGTCGAATGCGAACACAGTGCTTGCGGCAAAACGTCTCGGCCATGTGTATGTTGAACATTGTCATAAGAAACGCGTCGAGTGGTGGTTTATTTATATATGTGTGTGTGTGTGTGTGTGTGTGTGTGTGTGTGTGTGTTTAGAGTGAGAGGCGGAGAGTGACAAAAGCGATCGCGGACGAGCTTTCGTCACTCCCGGAAATTGCTTGGCGCTACCGAACCGATAACGCGCACTCCATCAGCCGCCTCACCGACGAGGCTACGTACGGCTATGTACGCACGGGTTCCTCAGGAGCAAAGCGTTTATTAAACTCCCCGTCGGCAACCGTAAGCAAACTCCTCAACACGCCCGGACGACAAGCGCGCGGGTTACCCAAACAAAAGCGATCGTCGTCTTTACACGCGGGCGCGCGCGCGCGAGCCCGTTCGCTCATTCAGTGATGAGTCTCTTCGACAGTTTCGCTGATACCCACCCACCCGCCTACCTACAGCATCCATCTCCACAACCTTCTCCACGATAACCTCTACATCGCCCGCCGATGATGATCGACCCGAAGCGACACACGGTCCCAATCGTCAAGACGTGCGGTCGACGTAAAAAAGGTTGTCGGCATCGTCACGCTGCAGCTCATGGAAACTTTTGACCGTTAGACCATAACCACTATTCACGTCACGACCTAGGTACTCTCGTAGTATAATATTGTTCGAACATTGACGCCCAATCAGGTTTAGTGATTTGAACAAGTGGGGCACGACACGTAAAAAAACTTTCAAGTTGTCGCACTTGTACTCTACCCGTAAACCACACGTGCGCCAAGAGCGTTTGATATTTTTTTTCCTCTTATTCGTGTAACATAAATATATATATATGGAAACATTTACGCTACGATATCGCTATAATTTATAAATTCACACATACACACACTGCATATTAAGTACCTAAAACTTACAACGTTACATACATATTATATAACTTACACGTAGGTTGTAGATGCAGACTCGCCTGCAACGAGTACTTACTGTAAAAAATCAAATTAAAGTATACCAAAAGCTGCAGAAGAGAAAAAAATCATGTAGTGCGTCGATGCTAATAATAAAATATACAACTATTTACTCATATAGTTTTACAATAACGATCTAATTAATTATTAGTCTCTAAAAATTAACTTGGAACTCAAAACGATAAATATATGTTGACTATTTCTAGCGAAAAATATGATTAATATCAATCTGGGACATTTCGGCGTAATTACTTCGGCATTGGACCGTTTTGAAATTTATAAATAAATATAAATCGAATGAATCATTATTATAAGTCTGCTAAATCTGAATTCCATGATATATCATTGTATATGATAAATAATTCTGATCAGAGACGATATGTTGATCTATATCACTAAGTATACTTTATGAAAAGTTTTTTTTTATAGCTAATATAAAGTCGTTTATTTTACTTTTAATATTACAGTAGGTTAATATATATTTTCAGAAAATATTTCAATTATTGTACTTGTATTATTAATATTTAACTAATACTAAATAGTACAAATTTACAAAGATTTACAGTATATTTTTTATTTTAATAATACTTGTATATTAATAGAAATCTAAAATGTATAATAATATAATAAAAGCAAAAGTTTTAAGTTCCTGTGAATAATGTTTTTAAATTATAAAAAAGTAATTAACATTGTTATATTTATCTTTCAATAAATAATTCGTTGAAATTTTAATCTAAAAAATAACTATCTTTATATATTTTTAAAATTTTATGATTTCATTATAAACTACTTATGACTTATGAGGAATCGTTCTCATAATAAAAATTTTAACACAACAAATAATTGTTTAGCAAAAATAATGTAAAAATAAATAAAAATATGTCATACCTATAAATAGCACAAAAATATTTTCAAGATTTTAAAAACTGTATTTTGAATAAAAAACTATAATATAAATATTTTATGAAAAATTCAAATATTCATTTATAAATTATACCATAAAAATTAAATCATTTTTATCGAAAATAAGATTTGCGTAAAAATCTCCGTTTTTTCTTAATTTTTTTTCTATTTTTCCCAATAATTAAAAAAAGTAGATATTAAGAATTTCTTATTTTAACCTTTAACTTAAGTAATAACTAAATTCAATTTTCTGCATAAAACCATCTTCAAAGTTAAAAATCGAAGTATTTTCAAAGCACCAAAAATGAATAAAAAAATACATCATTCAAAAATCAATACATTTATCACTCCGATCAGAATCTAAAATGTTTTTATTCATAAAGAATTAATTTTTGAAGTTCTATGATGTAGTTTAAATATTTATGAATGCATGACGAACTCAACATAAGCAGTCAATTAAAAACTAAATCAATTAAATATGTTTAAAATATAATGAATAAATTAATTAAAATATTAATAATTCGTTGTTTTATTATTTTAATTTATTATTTAAGAAATAATAAAAAAACAATTTTTTTTAATACTTTTTTTTTTGTTTGTGTCATGTTAAAATTTACATATGATATTCATTAATAAAACAATCTCGTAATTAATATAATATGTATATTTATTTATTATTATTACAAAACTATAATTATTATTACAATTTTTAGTAAAATGTCTAGTTTTACTGAAAGTTTGATTGAAATATAATTATTACAAAATGAGGAACAACAAAATCAATTTCAAGAAATCCATTAGTTTGTAATTTCATTTGTCAATATGTTCGTTTCGGTCGAACACCGAACAGGGGGTTTTGTTCATTGCAATAACCCGTGAAATATTGGGAATTGAACCCCTCGGTTAAAACCGCTTACCCGTCGGCAATAGAAAAAATACATTTTTAGCAATAACGAAGTTTTCCCTTTCGGTTTATATGTTTTTCCGGTGCTAATATTTTGAAACATTGATTCTCATTCTTTTTCCAGACAAATACAATTACAATAATAAAAAGGAGGCGATTCATTTAACTTATTTATTATACAATAAATGTATGTTTGTTAACTTACCAACTCCAAAATGTATTTTAAATTACCAAATATTATATAACTAAAAATAAAATCAATTAATTGTAGTAGGTACTAAACATATATAATAATTTATTTTAATAGAAGAATAATGTTTTTAAATAATATATGACTTTTAAATCGTTAAATTTAAAATGACTTTCAAATTAATATAGTAACACAATTTCTATACACGGATAATGGATATATTAAGATCTCAACGATAGACAATAAAGTTATTTTAAATATTATAACATTTTCATATAATAATTATAATTTTAAGCTACTTTAACTTTAAACGTGGTCCGTTAAAAATTTAATATATATTCGTTTTTATAACTAGTTTTAAAAATATTTAATAAAATAATATAAATTTTCAGTTCAAACACTAATTACAATAATTATTGGTAAAATATATTCAAAGAGTAATACAATTGAGTATAATTTTTTAAATTTTTATAATACAATTTGGAGTTAACATTACCCACAAATTGATGAACAATTAAATAACAAACATGCCTGGACATTGTAATAGAATAACCAGCATATACAATTATCATTTCATTCTAATTTATTTAGCATTTATGTATAATTTCCAATTACTCTTCTTTGCTCATAACAGCTATAACTATATGTACATTGTATTTACATATTCTAGGTGTCCAGTATATAAATTTACTCAAACTAACATAGAAATGACGTATTAATTTAACTAAAATTTTGCTTATTTTTAAATAAATTTAAAATAGATATCTAAAATTGTGTTAACCTACACAGATAAAATATAACATCTGTCTTCTCTGTTTTATATTTTTATTAATGGTATATCTGAAGCCAAAATAAAGAATATATGTGGAATTAAAAATTGTATACTACATTAAATTTGACATGTAGGTCTCACACAATTGGCAAATATTGGGGGCTTAACTTTTTAATATTTTATGTATAAAAATAATTCTCATATTCTGTATGGGCTGTGTGAACGGAAACCGTTTGTAATTGTTTCGGAGATGAATGTATAAGAATATGCAGAGAAATCTCATTTACCTCACACATTAATTGGCTTCTTTAATTATTTTTTATATTATTTCAGTAACATCAATTTGTATTCTATTTTTAAATATTTATGACAAAATAGACGTGAAAAAATAAGCAAATATTATTTTTAGGCGAAAGAGATCTTGTCCTACCCTGTCCCACCAACCATCCTAGGGAGGGAGATATATGTATAATACATAATTATATTCGTGTATTGTCTTAAGTCTTTTAACTTAAACGCGTCATGCACGTATTATTTGTTTGTGTTTTAAAGGTAGCATATTTCCGTCAGCGTCGTCGTATTGGACCAACCCGGGTGCCAACCTTTACTCGAACATTGCCGCTGCGTCTGCATCGCATTCGATGGGCCACCATCACCACCACCCAGGCGCAAGCACCGGTGTCAGTCACCACACGGGAGTCTCGCCGCACCTGGCCAACTACTCGCACTACGCGTCACCATGACCGACGGACGTACACTGGGCCGCCAGGTCACTGCAAGGCACCACAGCAGCCCGGCCGCCGCCACATCTATACAAGCCCACCGAATGAATACAATCCTAGTGACCCTAGTCACTGTTTACGTGCTTAATTTAACACAGCATTGTTTTTCATTCGTTATAATCGGGCGAAAACATAAATCCACTTTCAAACCGTTATATTATATCATATAACATGTAGGTATAACGATAATAATAATAATAATAATAATATGATATAATTATATAACCTACACTCAGCTAGAATCTCCTAAGAGTGGAAAAGAGGGCTTACGAGAACGCATATTAATTTCATTATACGCAAATAGATTTGAATTGTAAACACATACCTTTCGTCTGTACAACCCCGCTAGGTGTTGATTAGTTTTAGTATATTAAAAAAGTTCTTTTAAGACGAAAAAAACTAACCACCGTCACACACCCACTTACATTTTACACAGGTTATGAGCTCATGACAATCAACTCGTATTAACAGTGTACAGAGTACAACACTCAAAAAGTATTAACTAAAAATTCTCAAGTTGAATATCATCATGATCGATTAATGATCAACATTCTAACTGTAATTTGTACTTCGATTTAGAACTATGTATAGTATACATTGTATACACCTGTATACACACTACAGGTAGACGTTTAAACGTGCTGCTGCTACATTATATTTTATCAGTCAGATTTTGTGATTATAAAAACGATGATTTTTATTTAGCTGGTTCTGTGAACTTATTACAAAAAATTTAATTGTTTACTATTTTAACTTTTAGGTTTTTAACTCTTTTTTTTTCTTAGCAATTCATATTTTTAATTTGATTATTTTACCAGCCTATTCTTGTTTAACCTAACCAAGATTGACTGAGAAAATAAGTGTAGTGGATTAATGCATTAAATATTTTAAACTGTATGTGACGCGTTATACAACTCGTGATAATTCTATACAAGTACAAACTTATAATAATATATCCTTATTTTTGCTTTGAGCAATATTAATTATATAATAATATAACCTACCACTTATTTACGTACTTTTTTTGAAAAATAAATATAATAATCATAAATTAAATAATTAAAAGCAACTAGTACAAACAAAGTTTTAACAAGTGTCATTATTTTATTTTATAGAAACAAATTTAATTTAAATGCTTGTAACCATAATAAACTGAACACTCATATATTATATTAAAGATATATATCCCTTGAATCAATAAAAAACCAAAATTATTATTCCAATAGCATTTACAAGTACAAATATTAACATACTAATAATTGGTATTTCCTATTTATCAAACACTTTATTGGAATATCAATATTATTTAACATTTAACACTTATTCTAGTCATTTTGTGATTAAAACTGGCAATTCAGATCTCGTTTCTTCATAAACAAACTCCTTATATGTATTAAACAACAGTGTTTATAATTATTAAAATATATATATATAAATATATAATCCGCAATGATTGTTCAAGTATAGTACAACATTTGTAATTTGTTTTGTTAGATACTTTATGTATGAGTTATGACAATCTATCATAGCTATAGATTATTTATAAAAAAAGTTTTAAATTTCAATGTATAAAAAAATAATTTATATTAAGGAAATAAAAATACTTAGCTTTGTGCTAAAGTAAAAGTAAAGTGCAATATACATAATTATACATTTTTGTTTTTATAGATTTAAGAATATTTAGTTAGAAATTTAATTTGTATGAATGTAATATTAATCTTTGTACAGGCCTTATATTAATAGAAGGCATTAAAACTAGTCTTATACGCTATTATATACATATGATCATTAAATTTTATTATAATAGTGTCATAAAACAATAGAATGACGTTACACATTGTAAATACAAATCCGTGTTGGAGAACAAAATAAAATCATTATTATACTGTGTTTTTAATTTGTTATCTTAATTATTTATAATTTTTTTTATTTACATATATATTTCTTAATATTCTTTACAAATAATTATTTTTAATGAAAAAAAGGTTTGAATTTATCTGGCAATTTCAAATCGTAAATGCAATAAGCACAATATTGTTTTAATAAATATATTTGGAAGTGCTCATTTAGTCAATGTGAAGCGTGCTTAAATTTCACATAAATATGAACATATATATATATATAATATTTATGTATATAAAATACACATTATATATTATATGTTATTGTGTACATGCGTAAGAGGGTAATTCTCAAGAATAATTTCAAACGCTACGCGGAACAATGACTGAAGAAGAAGGGGGGCCGGAAACGAAGGAAAAACTAAAGACATGAGCCACCACCACACGACGTATATATATTGTTCAGATTTTCTCCGTTTGTTGAACATGAACATTAAAATGAGTAGTTTAGAACTAAGTAACAATGAATATGCATGAGCTCGACTACTTGATATTTTTACCCTCGGAAGCTATAAAAAAGTCCCACCAAACTTTTCATTGTGTTAATCATACGTGTGGTAGAAGGAGGAAGTAATTCACTCATAATGTGCATTTCTTATCGACATTTATGGAATCATAATTTTACAATACTTATATGACCTAGAACCAATTTTTTTACAACTTTCTATGAAATATTTTGAATGATTAAAGCGAATATTTTATTGCTGTATTTTGAATTTTTTTCAATAGAATGATTTTATAAGACCATTCGCCATATGAAAACATTTTTATTTAAATAAAAATTAAAACAATTCAAGGGAAATCATTTTTTAACATTTTGATGAATATTTTATAATATTCGTACCTAATACCTACCTAATATTTATTTATTTATAATTATTAACGGAGTCCGAGCCCAATAGAACAATACAATCTATAGTAATGAAAAAATTTGAACAATAAAAGATAGTAATTAAACTAAATAAGCATTAATATGGGCAAAATTAACAAATGGTAGTTATAGAAAATTAAAAATGGGAATACACAAATTAAATTACTATAATTATCAAAAAAAAAAACATCTTAAGAGAAGCTTAGGTGCTTATTATTGCACATTTGTTAAAAAATGCATCTTTATATGTGATAAAATATCAAGTATTATTATTAAATTTATTTCTAACAAGTAAAAACTTTAGTTTATATATATTGTATAATGTATAGTATACTATAATATACATAATTTATATTATACTACTATAATACCAATAGGTTAAATAAATAGTTATTTCATACTGATTTACGATTATAAATACTTATACATACATGAAATCAATACAATCAAATCGAATAAAAATAATAAATAATATATACTATAGTACGTTTATGTTTCGAATTTATTGAAATTGTATAGTTTAAACTCAAAGAAACCTGAAATCTATATAGCTATTATCTATATTACATATAACACATATTATATGAACGTCTATGTTTTATATTTTAAACTTAAGGTAAAAACATGACATAATATTATATGGATACAACGGTAAATGATTTTTATCAAGAACTTAATGAAAAAATAAAATCAATTTATCATACGATTTAATATTTTAAATTTTAATAGTTTCAAGTTTGATTATATTTTTACCACTTGTAGTTAATAAGATTTATTTAAAATTTTATCAAAAACATTCTTAAAGTATACAATGAAACGAATAATACAACGGTTGTCCCTATTTGGCATTCCAGGTGAGGCGGAAATCGGCTTAAAAATCACGCGTGTAAGATTAACAACAGCAACTGTTATATCCATCGCGTGTGTATCATGCTATGTATATACTAAATGAGAAATAGATAGGGCGTGCAGTAGTAGAGTAAAAAGACGGTGCAAAGCACGTGTGTAGCTCGGGGGAGGGAAGGGGTGGAGCGGGAAGCTTTTGTTATGGAAATGGTGGTAGGGCCAACCGGAAGTTGGTATCGACCACCTGCGCAACCAACCGACGTTTCCGGAACTTTCCTGGCACAAGATGGAGACAACGGTGGGACCACACCTACCCGTGCCAAAAGCATCACTACTTCGCCACCGCCTGCAAGCTTTTTCTATCCTCCCTCCTACCGGCTGCGGCCCGACCGTTTCGCTCTCTCTTACTCCTGAATTTATACTCACCAGCCCACTAATCTACCCACCCGTTGCCGTATCGCCACCCACACGCACAGCACACCGTGAAATAACTGCGTAGGTATCGATTATACATAATATAACGAGCACCGGCACCGTTTGTGGTGGATGCCGGAGACGGCTACTTGCCGGCAACGGATTTCCTCGTCCATAGATATATTGTGTCAAGTGGTACCTACTACCCCGTCAACACAGCGGTACGAGTGAGATCACTTGATTATTACATTATTATTATTATTATTTATTATTATTTAAATTATATTATATTAGAATGTTTTAAATTTTTTAAAACTACATTAAAATTAATATTTTTCAAAAAATAAAATAATAAAATAATTTAAAAAGAAATCATTGTTTTACGTGTCAATCATAGTTATCTACGAATAGATTTTAACTTCAATCGTTTATAAAAAAACTTAATTGATTGTACGATGAACTTTTTTTTAAACTCCAAAAAACTTCTGAGGAATAATATATGCAATTTTCAAGTTCTCGCAAGCCAAATTTTTATCACACTTATAAATAAGCTAAAAATATTTTTGAAATATCTATAAATAACATAAAAATAAAATCCAGAATATTTTGAAAATCATATTATGTTTAATAAATGCTAATATGGCTATTTTATAGAAATTTACAGAAAAAAAATCAGTGTATGGTTCTAAATCTAATACATTAATCACTGTTAAGAAACTAATAGTGGACATTCGTAATCATTTATAAACCTTTTACCAATATCAAGCATTAAACAATTTAATAACAAAACGTATAAATATGTTATGTTAAATAATAATAAAATAAATCAGTTTACGTATAGTAATCATTACCTACTATAGATTACTTACCTTATCTACAATTTAAAAAATATATATATCCGTTTGATTTAATGTTTCTTCTTACTCTTAAAATGTTTTTAGATTATAAATATTATTTACATTGCCTAAATTTATATTTTATTAATAAACTTTAAAAAAAAAAACAATGTGAATGCTCTTATATAGAATGAAGTTGTTTAAGGAATATTTCGTTCAGCAAACGTTAATATATATATCTTTATAAGGAAAATTAATCCAAATGATAACAATTAATATTTTTATTGCAAATTTATAAGTATATAAGTATATTATTATAAAACATAAAAGTATTTTAAATATTTAATTTTTGAAGTGACGAAAATTAATTACATTTATTTAGATTCTATAGTTCCAAAAGAAATTATTTAAAAAATATATATATATATTATATGTTGGAAATATAATATCTTATCGTTAATTTAAATTAAAAATACCACATCATAAATAATTTACAAAATAAAACTTTTTCTGTAGGTACCAATTAACTTGTAAAATAATTCTAAGTAATACTTTAATAAATATACTATAAAGATGTATGCCATCCTTTCTTAATAAGCTTATTATTTTTTACTTTATTAGGTATATGTATTATTATATATTTTTATTTTTATTCTTTAATATTTGTGTTACTACCGTCGTCTACTAATTAACAATATTTTATTTAAAAATACGCAATCAATAAATATTTCCCACAAAATGTGTTTTAAGTAACCTATAAGACCAGTATGAGTATATGAATAGTAATTTTAGTTACAAATCATCAGATGTTTGACAATGACAATAAGTTTTAAAAACGGAAATATTATTGAAAATAAAAATAATAAATGTTGAGTTAAATTGTATTATTTATGATACCCTACCAATTATATTTTGTATTAAAAATTAAAAATCATATAGGTATTATACCAACAGTTATAATTCGTGCGATTCAAAACGAGAGTTTTTTCAATAAAAAACACTTTTAAGTACCTACTACTGTACACTTACGGACCAACAAATAATCTTTCAGGTATAAAATCAAAACGTATACATTGAGCATCATAAAAAAGGTAATTATTACCTAGGTATCAGTTAATAACAGATGTTGTTGATTATATAGTTAAAGTATCTGTATATGTTTAAACATGATAAAATAATTGAAATTTTTATTAGGATTTTCAACAAGAAATAAAATATATAAATAGCTAAAATAATATCTAAAAGTAATAAAAAACATAGATAATTTATCTTAAAACTTCTGCAATTTTAGAATTTGATAATATACCCAAAACCTTTAAAGTATAAAATAGATACGAGAAAACTAGTAATTTAGAGAATTTTTGTGTTATACCTACTGGTATTATAGTGTTTAAAATAATTATAAAAAAGGATTTTTATAATTTAGTCACCTACTTTATATTTTTATTTGTATCCTTTCTTCTAAAACTGCATTATTTTACATAACTTAATTACAAATAAATTTAAACTAAAATTTACATCATTAAATATGTACAATACCTACTAAATATCGATATTTAATATTGGAAAATTGTACAATAAACAATAACTATACTTCATACAGTCATTTTTTTCATAAATAAATATTTAGTACTAAAAAAGTTTTAATTTTATATGCAGTTCATCATTCGTAATTAGTTATCTCATTGTTGTCAAATTTAACAGTCTTAGTATGAGTTTTTAGAATTGTAAATTTTAATAATTATGTATTGACTTTTACTTAATAATTATTATTTTATTAATCTTAAAAACAATATACCTACCTATATTTTAGTCTTCAAAATCTCCGTTCAACAAAATACTCCATCGTGTTTTAAATTTGTTATTTTTTCATCAAGCTTTTTGAATAAGGATACAAGGTTCGCCATCTAGTGACGTTGTAAATGTTTGATGATATCGATTGTCGTGGTACACAGTATGAATAATATAAACAATTATTGTTATTTACAAAACCGTCCATCGATAATACATGGTAAATTCAATTTTTCACCCGTTAATAATTCGCCTAGAAAAAAATAAAATCATCGTAATAATTCTGCTTTGTAAAAACTGTAACATCAACTAACATAATATAAGAGTTAATGTATAATAATATGATAGCCGGACTACGCAACGACATTTTGAAAACGATTTAAACGAATGCCGTGAGCGCGCGTTTACCTCAGTTATATTGCGACGTTGCCATGTCACGTCGCGTAGGTTAGGTTATTATCTTTAGAATGTCTTTGGACTTCTCAATACGCCGGTGACATGGTGGTCGGCCTGTTCGACGGCAAAAAGATGTCTGACCCCGACCCTTCTTCCTATTCGTCATCGCCCTACCACTTTCAAACATTCTTTGCTGCTACAATTATTTTTTTCGTGTTTCTCGTACACACCGTATAAACGACAATAAACAGCGTCTCCCTCCACTACGCAGTTACAGAATTCACTATTATCTGTCCTCGTGACGTCGTCAAGTTATAATTATTAATTCTGTGTGCGTTGCACAAGATTTTTTTTTTTAATCCCGCTTCTCACTGCTTCGCTAGTCTTCTCTCTATTGTTGTCGAATTGTCGTCGGACTTGGCCGTCTGAACGTTTTTAGTTAATTTTACATCACCTCAATTCTATCCCTGTTTAAACAGCATACATCGCGTGATCGCAAGCGAAAAACACGGTCCTATCGCCGAGTGGAATTACAAGAGACAAGTCATTACCACAGGAGATACGAACATACGCATGTCAATCCAGAATCTCAACGTATTCGGTAAGTGCAAATTAGGGTATCCCGCAAAAATCTTTCAACGACACTGCGGGAGAACATTTTTGGTTCCGATGCAGAAGTTTTACGTTTTTTGCGTTACTATTTTAGTTTTCTATATGTACTTCGCGTATTACCGATACCGATAACAAGAAACTTAAAATTTTCCAATAGCGTTGAAAACGGGCGTCGTCTCACTTCCTCAATTCTTTAATGACCCCCGTTAGCGTTTTTTTTTTAAGGCTAAACGCGTCTTACAAGGCCATTGAAAAGAATAGATATGGAACATGAACATTGTTCAGTTACATTCACGTTGTAGATGTCGACTGACGTCATATGTCTTTATTGTGTTTTATCGACTTCTACAATATGACTACTATAGTATCTACGACTATATATTTTAATGAAAATTATTTTTTAAATCTATTTTAGTTTTCAAAACGGAACACTTGCCTATTTAAAAAATACTAATAGTTTAAAAAATCTAGTTTATTATTCAAATAAACTGTAAGTCATAGATAATTTCAAAATAATAAATAAGTTTCAAATTTTGAATTAGTTAAATCTAATTAGATACATGAATTGTACATAGTGATTTGTTTTACATTATGTGTAATTTACTATCTATACTATATAATTTATAGTGTATTTTGTAAAACTTAAAAACTAAATATTAAAATAAACTAGGTATCCATGTATATATTATTATTTGTAAGCCTGTAAGGATACAGTTTATCTGTATTATACACAATATTATATTAATATATTACACATTTTTAATATGATTATTACATAAAACAAAATTAATAAAGTGCCTTCAGCTTACCTCTACATATACTTGTATTCACATTATGTCTAAAAAAAATATAAAAATATCAAGCTTACAATTATATTTATAAACACCATTGTATGTAGTGTAGATAATTGTTTGAAATTTGTGATTTTATCACCTTAATCTTCTGAATATATTAAACTTACACTCTCAGCTACATCCATTGAATATTAGAACATGACTAATGTCTCCTACTTATATGCCATGATTCAATGAGTGATTAAGTAATTTTCCATTTATTTTATTTAAATTTTACAACCAAGTCTATACCTACTTACAAATAGATATATTTTCCTTTCAATTTATAATTTTTCATCAATTGTCAATTTTATTTTTTTTCATGAATTTAATTATAGGTAATACCTATCCAGAATTATTAACAAGTAATTATTGTTAATCGTTTTTTTTTTTTTTAAATACCTTCTAACTTGTGATATCTTTTACATAGCTTATTAGTTTTTACATATACTTTTTACTTTTGTAGTTTTATTGTAATATGATTATACCATTTTAATTATTTTTGTATTAATTAGTTAGTAATTAACTATTGATTGTTAAAAAATAACTTATTGTTAATATTTGTTTTTTAAGACCCGTTTGCTGATGCAATCAAGGGTGCAGACGATGACGTTCAAGACGGGCTTGTTCACATAAGAATTCAACAGCGTAATGGTCGTAAAACATTGACAACGGTCCAAGGTCTCTCGTCAGAATATGACTTAAAGAAGATAGTACGTGCATGCAAAAAGGTAATGAGTTATATACAGTAATAAACAATTCCAAAAAGATTCAACTAGTTTATAGTTACAAAATAAAATATTATATACTTTTTATTAAAATCTATCTATTAATTTAATTGTTTTTTACATTCTGTATTACTTTAAAAAGTATTTTTTAAGACTATACATACTTAATATTATATTGTTAGTACGATTTAAAAAAATATCCCTAAAAATAATTTTATTAATTTCTACATTAAATTAAAATAATTATTATTTCATTTAGTAACTAACCTAATTAAACTTAACATATAATTTATTACACAAAGTAATAAAACATAATTTTTAAATAAAATTAAAAATAATATTGTAATATTTCAGGAGTTTGCTTGCAACGGTACAGTAGTTGAACATCCTGAATACGGTGAAGTGTTACAATTACAAGGAGATCAGCGAGAAAATATTTGCCAATGGTTAACTAAATGTGGTCTTGCCAAGTCTGATCAACTTAAGGTCCACGGTTTCTAAAGGAAACGAACTAATCATGCTACAAAATACCTTAGATTGTTACATTACTCAGTCAAATAAATCACAATAAATTCAAAATTCTCAATTTCATAACATGCTTTAATAATTGTAATGTTTAATCCTAGTGTTTTTTTTTTCAAGTTTTTTAATTTTCAACAATAGATTTGAATAAGCATTAGTATTATGTATATCAATGCTACTGACGTATTTAGAGAATATTTATATGTTGTTTCCATAATATTAAATGTAATAACTTATAAAAAATAATAATTCTGTATTATACTTCAATCCTACGTATTTAATATGATGTGAATTTTATAAACTTCATTATAATATGTATGGTATTAATAATTTTTCTTTTATAAATTTATACATCTTTTCTTTTATTTATAAATTGTAATTAATTATTACATCTTAAGTAAAATTTATTACAAATAAAATAATAAAATCACTCGTTGCGAACAAGTGTAGTAAGTCCTTGTTTAATATTCATCAATTTTACTATTATTGATTGTTAAATGATTTCATCAGTGTGTCAATGTTTTTACTGATTTCTCTTTATTTAATATTTAAATTTAAATTTTTTCAGATACAAGGGTTCACTGAAATTAATTTACTAGGTCACTAAAATAATGTTAATTAAAACAAAATATTAATAATCACTTATATTTATATAATCAAACATAACCCTTGTATAAAATCTAATTAAATGCTACTTATACATACTTCAAAAAACTAAATTTTAGAAAATACTACTCACTTGATTTGTTAAACTTATGAATTTATACCAAAAATGGAAGTTTAAATTTTCAGACGTAGTTTTAAATCTTACACTAATTGTTTCTATATGTGCATTAATCTATAAACTATATTATTGAATATTTAGTTAAACATTTAAAACATTTACTTGTATTATTCCCTATAATGTTGAACTAGATTCCATTAGCTAAAATTTACAAACATAATTTACCCTTATAAACCATAAAGTGATGAAAAAAATGCTTAAATATTTGTTTTTTCAAACGTTATATGTAGCATTCCAACCTGTATTGTAGTTTGTTAAACAAAATACTCCTTGGATTCTTTAATCCTTACTTATCTTGGTATTAAAAAATTATTTTTCGTGTTTTGAATATCATAAAATACTTTTAAACAAATTTAAACTATCAAGTCAATATAAAAATATTAAAATTACTTATAACCATTAAAAATAATATATGACTTAATTAAATGTGTGGATTGATATATTTCTTTACATAGGTTTGGTTATAATTTTTTTCTACCAAAACATTAATTTTTACTTAAAAAGCACAACTATTGTACTATTGTTACTTAAGATCTACCAGAATAAATTTATGGTATAACAGCATAATTTTGTTAAAATGAAGGGATTTTTACTGTTTTAAAATTAGATCATTAACCATATAACTACCCAATATCAAAAAATAAAGTAAGTACCAATTAAGTTATAAATTATAATACTGTTTTTAATAAATTATTTGTCAATATTAGTATTGAACCATACTCTGCAATTCTTTAAACATAATCATACCTATAAAATATATATCTTAAAATCATTTAAAAAAATTTAATTAATACAAAAATAAACTATTTATGTCTACGAGTAGTAGCCAACTCACAAAAATCAAATAATTTTGAAGATCATGTCATTCCTAGAAGATATCAAGTATTAGTAGTCATAATTTATGGTCCTAAATAAGTAGAGACTTTGTTGAATATTAACGGGAATAAAGTAATTTTATTAAAGGCCAAGTCAGTATATTACTTTTAATTAATAGTGTTAGTATAAGTCTATTAAATGTAGTCATATATGTATTGTCTTTTAATGACTTGATGTACATTTGAATAACAAACAATAATTTATTATTTTTATTTAAAAAATCTACCAATCAATGCATTATATTTCTGGTTACTAATAGAAGATGGCTAGTATATAAGAAAAGTTATTGTTTTTGTTAGTCAAATCAAAAACATCCTCTAAATCTTAAAAAATCTATTGATACAACTTAATGAAATTAGTCCAATACTATTTCAAGCTTTGAGATTATCCATTAATAAAAATTTCACTTTTGAATAATGTATTTTGAAAAAATTTTATATTTTTATTTTGCGGAACAAGAATACAGAACTTTAGTTCCATATTTCATAAATCATTAGTTATCACTTGCTCTACAATTTTCTCTGTAATTTAATAAAAAAAACTCCATGACGATTGGATAAGTAGTTCCAAAGATCAATTTGTACGGGTTTAAGTGGAATCCTGAAATCAAGTTCTAGGAAATTTTGACGTAGACGTCGTGAACATGTTATAATTAACATATGGTGAATTTTAAATGTTAATCATCTTGAGAACCAATTACCATTTATCCCATGGTTATTCGTCATACATTTTTTTTTAAATGAAAGTACATTATGGAGTAAGTTTTATGGATCTAACATCCGTCCACGGAATATTGAGTGATAAAATATAGAATATGTTAGTGGCGCTATCTTTCCAGGAAAATAAAATTTAAATTTAATACAAAAAATAGTAAAACTTTTTCTCCAAAACTTAATACAACTAGAAGAATAAATTGTCAATACTCAATATTAATTTAATTTTAAAATAACGATTAGTAAAAAAAAAAATGTTAAAAAAATCAACGATTTGTCAGTGAACCGATAAGAAACTGAGGTACAGGTATTTAGTAAAATTAACTAATATAAACGATATAGGTGTATTAACTCAAAAAACAATTTATGCATCTACCTATGCCCTGATCACAAAAATGAATACGATTTACAAAGAAATAATAGAAAATCGATTGTAACTTTGAAGAATATTTTTAAAAATTATTTTATCTGTCGCCGGCCACCCGAACAAAAACTATTTTTTTTTTAATGCTATTCTTAAATGGTCAAAAAAATTAGCATGGACAACGCTAGGCAAAACAACTACAATTGATTAATGATAAAAATAAATCGCAAAGAACTATTGACTTAACATCAGTGGTTAGTGGTTACTGCCTTCTCTAGTTAATGTCATGTGTTTCATTCTTTTTCATTAATAATAATTAATAAACAATGAGTAACAGGAATAGATTGATTAATTGAATGTCGATGAACGATAAACCTGAATGTGATTTACATTAAAACATTTTTTTTTTTTGCTCTTATAGAAGTGGTCCTTTTAAGTTCAGTTAACCCACAGTTACTATATTTCTGGATCCACTATTGGTTCTACACTTCTACGGTATATTATGTTAGTAGGTACCTTTTTTTTTTTTTAACTTTATTATAAATACACAATCTGTACCTGCGACGCAATAAGAGTATGAGCTAATTTACAACAATAGAAGAAAAACAATTTGATTGAAGGAGCCACAAATTAATGACACTTTCGTCTTTTATTTATTTATTTTTTACACACACATTTTTTTTTTTTTTTTTTTGATGGGTGGAAGGGGAGGAGGTTAAGGGTGAGCAGGTTTCTGCATTATTTACGTTTAAGACGACGAGAAGGGTTACCTGCAGGGATGGTTAATGTAGCTAAATTTTTAATTAGTGCATTCAGACAAGAGTTAAGGCATAGGTGGAACCGTTTATAATAGATTTTTGCCTCTTCTTGCATAGTAGGTACCTACAATATATTTTACCTAAGTTTTAAACAGCTATAAAAGTTATATTATTATTATATGGAAAATATGTAGGTACCTACACTTTTGATGGGCAAAGATCAATTCCATATTTATACCATAGGTAGTATAATATATTACCAATGAAAAATAAATTTTAGTGAAATATCCTCAGGCTAACGAATAACGACCGTCTCCATTTAGAATTGATTTTCGTATGAATAATAATGATTTATATCAGCACATGACAATTTAGGCACATGCGTGTATGTATGCATATTGCATACATATATATTATATAAACACCGTAAGGTATTAAAAACACTATTCATTAGCTGTCCGTTACATGTCCAACGGATCGATATTACATTTTAGTGGTTTTCTAGCGAACTTAACTTAAGTTATGGTTATGATTTAAGATAATCTTATATCTTTTATACTATCTTAAATCATGATTTACACTTTATAGGCTTATAGCCACTACTGAGTACCATAGCGGCACAAACCATGGGAAAACGCATCGATGTCACGCTTGCAGTATGTTAATTGTTTTATGTCTATTATGTTATAGTATATACAAGGTATCTTGCCACGTTTCTTCTACACAAATTGCTGATAAATTACCTACTACTTACCAACTTCAAAAAACAAATTTTAAACGTTGGGTATTGTTTTGGTGTTCTAAATAGTATTCAAATCCGAAATGTAAAAATGAAAATGATCATTATAATGTATGTAAATCAAAGTATTTTATCATTTTTTAGACTGCTCACCATGGGGTAGATGTCAAAATAAATGCTGTACCTCAAAAAAATGTTATATTTTACGCTACCACTGCAGGGGGAAACGCGTATGATAAAACATTCTATGTTAGTTATATAACGGACATTAGAAAAATACTATTAACTATATAAGTAAATAATACAGAGTAGGTATACTGGGCAATTTATCATGCTGCCCTCTCCTTTTTTTTTATATAATAATAATAATAATAATTAAAAACTAAATTTTTGGAGTTTTCGAGTTATTTAAATGTAACTAAATAATTAGGTATTAAGAATAATTTTCCTTAAAAATGGTTTTCAAAAACTAATAGATATTTATTTTACTAGGATAATTTTTACAAATTATAAAATGTTGATAAATTAAATGTTAATTACACAAGACACTTCTTAAATAGTATAAAAAATACCAATTATTCCAAAAAAATAGCTTTTATTACATTTAAAATTTTTAAAATCAGATTATGAATAAGAACTGTATTATTACTAAAAGAAAAATGGTTGGGCATACAAGTGAATCGCTCTGTATAATCTATGATTAAACTATAAAGTATAAACGCACCTACGCGGGGACCGCGATATTATTATTACGTGTACCTGCTGGTTGTAGCTGTGACTTAAATACATGTACTATTATTATACAGTAATATGGTATAACTACTAACCACTACGTCAT